ATTATCACAACCTCTCCAGGATATATGCCTTCACTTTCTTAACAATTCTTTATATATGACTTTTGAAGGGCCACCCACAACTTGATGTGTGGTATGTTGTTGCCTTTAACATTTCTCTGCCTTTAATTCCATGCTAAGTGTATCTATCTGTGAAGATATTAAGAAAATGATATGCAATAGACAGTCCTAATACTCAGCTAATTTTCAGCTGGAAATCTGCTTCAAAACCATATAAAACAAATTATCTTTATTTGGCCATATTGTAGCTAATCTATAACTCCTGTGGTCAAAAGACTTGTGTGTAATGTGCTGTGTAACCGTGGGGACATGGTCCCCACCTGTCATGTGGGGTGATAAGAGGGCCTTCAAGGACAGACGAGGTAACAGCTGAGAACACACTATGAGTTCTTCATAATCGCTTCATGTCTTACAGTGTCTCTAACTTACATTTACAGATTTAATCTATGTCATAGTCTTGTAAAGCAGTTATTATTTTAACTAGGATGAGTTCAACCATAAAGTGGTTCAGCAATTTGCCCAACTAGCTGTGTTAAATCCAGGAACCAAACTTCTTCTTTTCTTACCCTAAATCTTTGTGTTCTTGCCCCTGTGCTGCTGAATTTTTACAGCATGACTACTCAAGGCTTTTCTCCTAAAGAAATTATGCTAAACATTCCTTAAGTCTCTCATTTGCATACAGCAAAGCACTGCAGTCCAAAGGTAGAAACACAGCACATCATCCCGTGGCAGGAAGTCTACAGCCTTTGGTCCAAGAACCCCTGCAGTGGGGACAGCGGAGATGGGGATGGAGCAGGTCTCCGGGGACTTGAATGCGGCCTTGCTGGTGCCTGCTTCCCAGGTCAGTACACACTGTCCCTGGTAATCCCTGAGCACCATGCCCACTTTCCCAGCATTTCCCATGAGCAGAGCCACCTATTCTCCTTTTATTTTTAGGATTTGGGGACAGTCTGAGGAAATCTGAAGTGGAAAACCATTAGGCACTAATCAAAAAAAAGAGAAAAATATGCATATATTCCAACACTCACCTCAGAAAACATTCACTGTCTGCAGACGCTCTCAGCCTACTCCTGGCAAAAATACAAAGAAAAAGTGCATTTTTCTTTCTTCCTATTTTATCTAAAGCTAGATATTCTCATGAATATTATATATGTAGGCAGAGCAAGACCAAACAACATATAACAAGAGACATAGGACAACTAATTCAGGGATGGAGACAGAATTACCGCCAAAGGCAAATGTGACAGACATTTCTTCACTTCAAAATTAATGACTAGAAAGAGGTCGGGTCTTAAGGCCAAAGAACTAAGACTCAGCCCTGGCCCTGCATTTGTTAGATGGGACTCTGGGCTAATTACTTAACTCCCAAAGTGTTCATTTCTCATCTACAAATGGTGATTTTATTACCTACTAACTCCAAGGGTGGTTGTGAGGATCAATGGTTACAAACTTTTGTTCTTAATCAATCTTTATTTTTCTCTTACTTGCTGAGAATTCAGTTTAGAAGTGGCTCAGATTATCTTCCTAATCCTAAAACAGAGAAAATGTGTGGCTTTTTGCCTTTCCTATTCTCTAACACAGTTCTTATCCCACAAACCCTAACGACCAGCTGCAGGGAACTGATGATGTCCCAGGCCTTTACTGTATGTTATCATTGTCCGCATTTTACTTTCTGTGATTCATCTATGGGCCCTTTCTCCAGGAAACACACACACACACCCCTCCTCAATTTAAGAACACTTGTTAACCATTTATGTATATTTATCAAATACTCATTGAGCACATAATATGTACTGGGTACCACATACCACATATACTCATTTTCTAGATTTACAAATGAGGAAACTGACTAAACAGAATGAGATTAAATAGCTAGTCAGTTCCGGAGGCAGAATTCAAACTGGGGACTTTCTTATTCCAAAGGCCTGATGTGTTGATCTTTTTCCAAGAATCCTACCCAGTAACAGTGAGTTGTCTTTATATTTTCAGTATAAAGGCAATTGAACAGAATCTTGGGGGAAAAATTCTGTCTGGCTCTGGGAACCACAGTCTGAAAATGTTTTTACTAATGAGTAACACAAGCAAACAATACATATTCTGACCCTCAAATCAGGCACCTAAGACCATCATACTTAAGGTTGGATCCTGTCATGCACTGTTACTTTAGCCAAGGAAAGAGCTGCCAATGTAGGCTGCTGTGGTTTTATGGCGGAATAAGGCTGGAAGTAAAAGATGGGGACCTGGTCCTTACTCTGTCCATTACTAGCTGTGTGCCTTTGAAGAAATTGTTCAACTCAGAATTTTGGTTCTATTATCTTTAGAACAGATGATGAACCATTGCATGTCTACCTCACAAAGGCATGTGGAAGCATATTGTGAAGTATGATGCTCTTCAAATATTAAGAGTCATCGATCACAGGATAAAAGGCATTGCAAGCACTGATTAAAGCGGAGCTTGAAATCATGACTTAAAGCAAGAAAGTCTGCTCAGCGAGCACAGAAAAAGAGGTCATGGCTTCTGTCACAGCAGGGTTTGGGCGCTGAGGTGGCTGGCGCGGACAGTGCTCTTGAGACCAATGGTTGTTTCATGAGCAGAATCAGCCTGAGGTGGGGGCTAGATCACGAGCAATCAAAGTGAACATCAGCTGTGATGGGACAGACTGGAATCATTCAGCATCCCGTAGGGCGCCCTGAGAAGGACACAGAATCCCTTTTGTGATGTACTTACAGAAGATGCACAATCTAAGTCAAATTAGGAAAAACATCAGAGAACCCCAACTGGGGGACATTCTCCAGACAAGACACGTGAATGGCCATCCCATACATGAAAAGATGCTGATCACCAGGGAAATGAAAATCAGAACATGAGATGTCACTTCACACCTGTTAGGGTGGTCATGATAGCAAAACAAATAAAAGGCGCATGACGGTGAGCATCCGGGAACTGGAGCCCTCATGCGCCTTTGGTAGAAATGTAAAATGGTGCAGCTGCAAAACAGTATGGAGCTTCCTCAAAAGATTAAAAACAGAAGTTACAAAAATAAATGTTGTAGCAATAAATATACTTATAAAAATACATACATTAAGCAAGCAACTCAAACAGCTAGAACGAGAATGCAAAACAAATTAAAAGAAAGTAAAAGAAAGATATTATTAAGGGCAGAAGCAGAAATTAATAAATTAGGAAAATGTGGAACTAAGTATATTAAAAGCTGTGTAGAAAAATATCAACAAAATTAATAAGCCACTAAATAACATATTATAGAAAATTGAAAAGGCTAACGCAAATGCGTAAAGTAAGTTATAAAATTAGTGGGCAATGATAACTCCACTTACAATAGTAAAAGTAAAATAAAATTAAGTAAAATTTGAAATGTAAAACTAACAAATGTTTCAAACCTAATGGAGAAAACTATAAAACTTCTAAAAGACATTATGGTAGCCTAGAACAAATGGAACAAAATACCACCTACTTTTTCAGGGAGATTAAACATTTTAAGATATTAGCTATCCTTAAGGAAGTTTATTGTTTTCATGTGACCCTAATAGAAACTAGACAGGCACCCTAGAGTTAATGACTCTTAATTCATTCTGAAAATCAGTAGCCCGGGTAGACGCAGCTGCATCAGCTTCCACACTGCGGCCGGCGGAGCGCAGGGCCTGGCCGGGAAGCTGCAGGTGTCGCTCACGTCCCTCCCGCGGGGCTTTCTAAGCAAAGGCGGCACAGTCAGCCGTTTTAGGCGTAGGAAATGTGAGGATAATAACATTTGTAGATAGTAAAACCTGTGGAGAGTTTTCATATGCCCCATATCCAGTTTTTCCTATTATAAACATCTTACATTAGTATGTATGTTGCAGGTAATGAACCAATGTTGATACATTATTTACTGAAGTTCATATTTTATTCAGATTTGCTTAGTTTTTCCTTCATGTCTTCAATCTGTTCCCAGAGCCCTACGGAACATAAGATTACCCAGTGGTTACAACCTATTAAACTCCTCTGAGCTGGGACAGTTTCTCAGACTTTTCTTGCTTTCGTGACCTCGGCAGTGCTGAGGAGCGCTGGTCAGGTATTTTGTGCAATGGCTCCTAATGGGATACGTGGCCATTTTCATGACTCGACTGGGTGAGTTGGTTTTGGAGCAAGGCCACAGAGGCATAGAGCTGTGTTCGTCCCACCCCGTATCGACATGACCTCATGTTACCTTGCATCACCTGTCCCAGGAGTGTTTATCAGGTTCCCTTGCTGTAAAGTTAATTTCCCCCCTCATGAAGAAAGTCATCCTCAGCCCACATCAAAGGAGAGGAGAATTATGTTCCGACTTCTTCAGGGAGAAGCACCCTAATGACCCATAAATCTGAGCCTGTGTGCGCTCCTGCCGTACTGGGGAGTGTAAAGACACGCTGCAGGGTAAGTTTAAAGAATTCACAGAAGGCGCGCCCTGCTGTTTGCATGTGGCTGAAGTGTTAATCAGAGGCAGACACTCTGAGGCCAGTGTCGAGTGTCTGCAGGAGCCACCTCTTCCAGGATTATAGCAGTGGTTCTGTTCTCCCCACTCCGAATTTTCCCCACTCTATAACCAGCACACAAGGATAGGGAGTTACTAACAGAAGGAAGTGTGCCCGTATTCTTGGTAAGGGAGCCGCTGGGGTATGGAGCCGCTGGGATTACTTATACCTTTGTTCTCACTCCCAAAATACAGCATTGTGGACACACAGGAACAGGCTTTCTTTGAACAGGCTCCTGAGTTTAAAACTGGAGTCAAGTTCTTGGATGTTGGCTGGTGTCTGCAAAGCATTCTGTGAGCTACAGGTATTGCTGTAAATCTTACAGCTCGGTCTGGTGAGGAAGACCACCGCACGGCTGTAAGCTCAGAAGGAAGCCCACAGCTGAGGACAAATGACGGGGAGAGAAAGAGGGGAAAAGCAGAGGACAGGCCTCCGGGCATCACCGTGGAGCCAGAGGGCCTCCAGGCAGAACATTTTGAGGGGACATCCACTTCGTGGTCTGGCACCCTAATGACTTAAGAGGCGGCATCTCTCTGGCCCTCCCTGTGAATCTCCTGGGGTGAGATCTAACACGGAGAGCAAAACGACCCCACAAAGCCACAGGCCTGGGGGCCAGAGCACATCGCCCCAGTCTTTCTTTTCAGTAGTTTGGCTCTTGGAACCTGAGCAAACTCCTGACTTTCCCAGGGCCTCAGTTCCTGCATCTGCGATAAGCTGGGCGAGATGAGGGCACGGGACACTAAGCCATGTGATGGCAGCTTCAGGAGGTGCGGCTCCCAGAAGGATGACTCCTCTCCCCCTCAGCAGAGAATCCCTGCGCCAGGAGCCCTGCAGGCAGAGGGAAGATGTCCACTCCTTACAGATGTGGTTTATCAAAATCACATACAAAAGCATAAAAAACTTCCATTTAACTAAACATAGGAACAGCACATAGAAATAGTTGAGACTGTGAGGCATCTGAATCCCAGAAAGCCAAACTAATAAAGCCCCATAAACTGGGCTGTCCTGTTTCTTCACATGGACAGACTAACCCCCAGACCCTTACTTGTTCTTCTCAGGGAACCTGTTTTGGGTATTTGAAGCTCTGTGATCAGCTTGCCATGTTCATATGATCTATTCACTCCAAGTTTCCCTGCCAATTTGTTAGAACATAGTCTTTTTAAATTAAAGCTGTGTTGAAATTATGTTAGCTGCCAACCTGTTTTAACAGTGGGTTGTAAAGCTTCCACTCCTGGGGCACCTACCTTGTTCTGGGAGGGTACATGTGACCTGTCACTTAAGAATTTGCATTTGTAAGCCAGAGGTGATTTCCCATAAACTCCAGGTGGTCATTTTCTTTGAAAGTACCCTGTTGGTCTGCCAACATCCAGCAATGTGGTTTCATTCTCAGTGGGTTAAGTCAGAGCCGAGCCGACACCGCGGGGACATAAGCTCCCAGGGCTGAGGCCTGTGAGGCGAGACGCGACCTGTAGAGGCACAGGGGGCCTGTTCCATCAGAGTCTCCGGGCCTGTCTTCTTTTCTCTCCTTGGCTCCCTCTAAAATACCGAACAGCATGTACTTCCTAACTCACGGGAAGGCGGGCAACTCTGGTGACAAGCAGGCCATGGTGTCGCTCGCCTGGCTGTTCCAGGCTGCTCTCCGGGTTACAGGTTCACAGACCAGATGTTCCTCTACTCCCGTGCTTATTCCTGGGTTACCCCAGCCACGTGGGGCACTGGGGAAAAGGGGGTGATGGAACAGGCCCCCTCTCCCTAAGCAGCCCTCTGGGCCGGCCAGCCTCGTCTCTCAAGCGCGTGCGAGCGCTGTTCCTGGCTGCGGCTCCTCTTTGTCCTTTGGGAAAAAAAAACCTCCACGGACTTGAATATCTTCATGACACGTGTGCCTGCCACTCACGCCCACTGCGATTCCAGTGCAGTTCAGTAGTCTGCTTGCTCAAAGGCCGGGGAAAGTTCTCTTGGCATCTGCGAGGTGGTTTTATTTGCCCAAGATTTCTGTTTACTCAAAGAGACCGAAAGCTGAACTGTAATTTCTAGTCAAAACTAAGCATAGCTAAAGATTGTTTTGATTATGTTCCTCTTTCAACTCTTTATTCATGACATTTTTCTTTTTTAATTAGAAGTTATATTTTCATAGTATATATCTGTATTTTCCTATCTATAAATATAATATATATTAATAAAGAGCAATGCAAGAATTGTAGAGTGGAGCATATAAGGCATCTAAACCCACCACATAAGGGGCAGACATCACTAACATTTTAATGAATAACTTATCTAAATTTTTATTAATTCTTATGTCAAATGTATGATTGGATAAAAGTGAGACTATACCATGAGAAATGTTGGATAATATGCTTTTTAAGTTTTCTTAAGTGTGTAACTGAAAGGTCGCTATCATAAATATAAGTGTAAATCTACTTGGGTACACGTTAGTGGATGTTCCCTCTTCTGCTATGTGTTTGCTTCATGTTTATCATCCAACTTACCGATAAACATTTAGTTATTGGCATTTTTAAGCTGTGATGTTCATAAACTATGTTGTAGTTCTAAAAATGTCAAATATTCATTGAGTAATTACTATGTGACAAGTTCAATTTATTGATTCATTTTATCTTTGCAAATATAATGAATTATTTTAAAGTCCTAGAATTGAAAAACTTGAGTCACACAGAATGTATCTTTAATGGTTTAAATAGTTTCTCTTTTTTCTCAGAATAGTTCCAGCAAGTTCAAATACTTTTTAAAATCTAACAAATTGGTTCTCCTGATCCAACTTCATTACTTTCTAATCTTTTTAGCTACCTTTCCATCATTTGCCTCCATATTTCTAAATCACAAGCCTACACTAAGGTGTGTGCGTGTGGACACCGCTGGTGGGATCCACGCGAGGGTCTGTTGTCACCCACAGTCTTGGGATCACTAAAACCAGCACAGCAAAGACAATGATCTCTGAGCATTAACTAATGGTTTTCTTGCAAAGAAGCTGCTGTATGCTCATGTCCTCCTCTGTGGGCAGTCATCACCTCGGTCCTCCAAGGGTCCAGGCAGAACCTGTCTGCATCCAGTAGCCTAACTGTTGTTAGACTGCAAGGAAAAGTCGGTGGGAAAGGGAATTATTAGAGCAGGCAGACAGGGATTCCCAGCCTTCTGAAACCCCAAACTCTTGCTCACTACAGTTTTCATACATTTTTTTATTCCTATGGTTGTTTCAGTGTGGATTTTCACAGTTTACACCACCTGGAATGAGTCCTGTCCGACAGTAGAATTCTCTTTCCCTTCTTGCACACACATTCTATTCTGATACTACCATCTTCAGAATTTGCTACTGTGAAAATTAATTCAAAGCTGAGAAGTGATTTCAAGTCCTGAAATAATCTGGTACAAGTCAGGTTTCTGGGAACAATTATTTTTATTTCTAATACTGATTGGGAGGAATATCTATTTCAATTTCAGATATACTGATATTTTCTGTATCATTAATTGTCCCACTAAGAATTAACAACACTTTAGGCCTAGATCAGAACTCTGTTATTGTCTAGTTCATGATTCCTCAGTATGCTACTCATTAATTAGCGATGAGTGTATTTTTGTTTTTTGAGTCCCTCAGGAGATTCACATAAGCACCCAGCTTCGACAGTCACTGAGCAGGACCCCCGTCACAGGGACGAGACGGCAGGGCAGGGGTCGGAGCTGCGCTGGCGAGCACGAGTAGATGGCCACACGCTCTGCTGCTGGTCATGTCCGGCATCTCTCCCCATGGGCCAGGGGCCATCTGTGCTGTGTCTGCTTTCACGGTCAGTGCCCATGGTTGTTAAAAATTTCAAGTACACTCACATTTTGCAGCTAGTAAATGAGAAAATTGAATTAGCGCCCAGCTCACCCTACCAAGAAAGCAGTAGTGACTGGACGCTGTATTTCGCTGACACCATTTCTATATAAAGTTTTGTTTGCAACCTGATGACTAGAACGCATCTTGTTCGTGTTCACTGAATAGTTACATCTTTAAACAGATGAACATTATTTCACCTTTATCATTCCCAATAATTAAATTTGGTGTTCCTGGCTAGTGTGCCTTATAAACTGGAAGACTAGTAACATGAGGGAAAACTTAATAGCTAAAATGCAGGTCACTTGAGGAGAAATCATTTGGGCGTTACAGAGGCACAGCTTCTTCATCATCAAAACAAAAAGCTGGTAGCTGATCATACATGTTCCTGTTTGCCCAGCAAACCCCAGTATGTCTTCTGTCTAATAATTGTACCTGTTGTCCAATTATTATATCTGTTGTCTAATCATTATAGCTGTTGCTTAACTTAATCTGTTGCCTAATTTTTGTATCTGTTGTCTGAATGTAATTATTGAATGGCCCCTTTCACTCTACGGTCTCCAGACTTAGGTAATAAATTATTTGGTCACACTATTAATAGGATATTTTGTATATGTCAAATGACTCAGAACTATTGTCAGGTCTGGGTGTAAAAGACATTCAGGCAGCCCGAGGGATAGATGTCAAGGGAACTAGGCTCTCTCCATTGACGCCAGAGCCCATTTGGATAACAGGACTGCATAGGTAGGGCTTCCCTGGACTTCTGGCTCCATGCGCTTTCCTACAGAATCATGTGCTTGGGTGAAAAAGAATTTCATGAAATGCAGAGGACTCTTCCCGACAGAGAGTGAATGTGGCTCACGGGACAGCAGAGCCCGCAGGGTCCCCAGCAGCAACTGTGTTGGATTCCTCCGTAGTGGTGACCTGGCATTTAGAACTAACACTTAACTAACACTTGCCTTAGGAACTCGGCGAGTGCGCTACATGCATGGCCTCATTCAGGCCTGAAGAAGATACTGTAAGTTAGGTTTTGTAATTCCCACCCCACATACAAGAAAATAAGGCTCAGAGAAGCAACTTCCCTTAGGTCACAGAACTGGCAAATGGTAACGTCAGGATCTGAGCTGAGATGAGAGAAAGGGAGTGAGAGAGAGATTGGGGAAAGTGGACAGGTCACAGAGACTGAACAGGAGGCTTCCGGAAGGACAGCAGGTGGGGATTTGAACCCTCACTCAGAGAATACGTACTTGCCTTTCACTACATTCCGGAAGCTCTGCTAGGTTCTCGGGCACAGTCTCTGCAGTCAAGGAGGCTCAGCCACGGAGGCGATCCCGGCCTCGCTCAGGAAGTGCCTTGCGAAGGTCAGAGCCGAGGAAGACAGCCCGTTCCTCCCAGAGCCCCAGGTGAGCAGGAGAAGGAAGGAGGCACATGCAAGAGGGAAGGGCCGCCAAGTTCAGAGCCGGCAGAAGGGCGCCCCAGCTCAAGGCGGGCGGGGTCGGAAGGTGGCCCGGGAGGGGCGGCTGAGGGGGCAGCGCCTGCCGGGGCTCATGTTTGCACAGCGCACACAAGGCTCTGTGCCGTGCTGAACAGCCTTCAAGGAGAGTTTGATGAATGAATGGAGGAATGAGGCACCTAGTGGATCATGGAATACATGACCAGAGCTGGTATTCGGATTTTGAGTCATAAGCCTTAAAGGTGAAAGATACATAAACAAAAGTTAAAAAGAAGTACCTGGGGAAAAGCAATCTGGGAGAGTCCACACGCTCAGCAGCCTGCAGGTGTGAGGGTGCACTGTCTTTTTATGATTCCTCCATACCTCTGCCAGTTTTATCAAAACTCCTCTAAAATACCTGATACTTGAGAATTCTGGAATGAGGAGAGAAAATGATTCTCTTTTCTCTCTTTCTGCTCTCAAACCTGCACAAGGCCCTCCTGGATCCTCGTGGGCTTTTTCAAGACTGTTCCTCACTGTGTGAACCTGGGCACGTCCCTAAGTTTCTCCTTGTCTCATGGTTCTCACCAGCGAAATGAGAAGCTGGATAGCTGTTCTGATTAAATCAGCGGTGGGAGGAAAACTGCTCAGTGACTTACATACTCTTTAGTTTTAGCTATTGATGGACATAAACTCAGCTTTCTACATTCTTGTTTTTCTTATAGCTACTGTTACTTCAGTGAATGAAGCCGCATGATATTGATGGTGGCACCAAAGGACAAAAGCCAAATGCCCAAGAACCTATGCCCACTGGTCTCTCGCCAATGACTTGCTGTGCAGTTTCTGAGGGTGTCTGCTTTGGTCAGTGTGTTTATCAATGCTGCTGGTTATTTTGGAAAACAGGTGTTTGCATTTTGTTATTTGCTATCACTGCAACCACTTTCTTTAAATTCAGTGGTAGTTGGAGATGCAAGGTTTTGGAGAAGAATTATGAGAATCTTGACCTCAGGGCTTCATTTCAATACATTAAAAAATAAATCTAATTATTTAATGAATCTAAACGTTGAAAATGTAAATCAAATACTGCCTAAGGATGGTTAGGGTGTTTTTAAACAAATCCTTCACATCCTTGACACTTCAGAAGGCCTGATAATCCCGTCTGTTTTCTCAGGGAGCTGTATTTGCATAGCAATCACCCCTGCTAATTAAATGGAAGATCAAACAGCATAGTTTTAGTAATTCAGAACCTAGGGATTGGCCCTAGGAAGTCCAGTAGCTTTAGGACCGTGCACTGCCTAAGAATCTCTCTGCCTACCATTTGTATATAGAAATATAGGGATAATAAGGGGAGAAAGGACCAGGTCATTCTGGACAAGGAGTGACACCAGGACCTGTACTAGTCAGTTAGGATTTCTATAGATATAACTGCCAAAAATGCATATAAATTAAACACATTTGTCACCTAAACGGTAAATCAAATGTTTATGTGAGGTCAGACCAAAAATGTTTACCAAAGGGTATCGATGATGCAAAGTTTGAGGCCTGAGCCTGTCAGACTCAATGGTGTGTGATGAGTTAATTGCAAACTAATAAATGTATTTCTTAAGTTTTACATCCTCTCAGG